AGCGCGGGGGGCCCTGGGGACAGCTGGGCTCTGGGGGCAGGGCAGGGGGCAGCTGGGCTTGGGGGGGGCTCTGGGGGCAGGGCAGGGGGCAGCTGGGCCTGGGGGGCTCTGGGGGTAGGGCGGGGGTTGGTGGGGTATCTGAGAACAAGGCTGCCGAGGCTGAGTGGAGTCTCTTTACATTACCAGGCGGGGCGGATGTAGGGGGTTGGAGGACATGATAGGGTGCATGTGAAGACAGTTGTGGGACTGGCATCTGGAGGCAGGAGGAGCATATCATATGAGGACAAGGTAGCTGGGTCTGAGTGGGGTCTTGGGTGTTAGCAGGGGGGCAGGTGCAGAAGGTCTTTAGCAATGTTTGGGGCACGGTGTCTGCTCCTGGCTCTTCGCCGTTGTTCCTCTGCTCCTTGTCCCAAGCACACGCAGGCTGCAAGACTGAGGGTCTGCGAGGCGCTAGAGGCCCAGGAGTTGGCTGGTGATATTAAAGTCCAGGTGGGTGGGGGTTTTATGTTGTTAATTCACTTAATCATTTCTGTGGAGTTCTTATTATTAGTCCTCTAATTCAGCCCTTTCTGAAGATCATCTTCTTGCAGAGGCTTCTCCAGAGTAGCTGGATGGGCTCTGCAGCTGCCTACTTTCTTTGAACTGAAGATGTAAATTCCAGCTGGAGGAGACATACCCATTCTAGTTCTGATCTCACTAGTGTACTAAAAATAGTGGCGGGGCAATGGGGGGAGGGGCTTTGAGTGATGCCCCAATAAGACCGTACTCACATTCTGCCTTTGCCCTATATGGAACAGGAGCTCCCTACACTTCACCTGCTCCACAAATTGAACACCACATCTACACTTACAAGACCTTGAACCCTAGACACACAATACCATCAAACACTACTTTTGCTTCCCCTTAATTAAACTTCCATGCCACTCCTATCTCCTCTGCACTGCTGATGATCTCTGGGCTCTTCTAATGATGCAGCCTATACATCACAGCGATGAAATGAGGTATGCTAGATCTCCCAAAGTTCATATGCATTTTTTTCCTTTGATCACACATACAGGCCTCAGAAAGAGGAGCTCACGCACACCCCCAGACCGCCACAGTCTCCCAGATCACCTTGTATCACAATTACAGCTCTTCTAAGCTGCTCTATCTTATTCCTTCGCCACAGTACAGCCACACCTCACGCACTGAATGCAGCTGGAGTGCATGAAGATAATTCTTAGTGACTATTGCCAGCTCCAGGGGGACAGAATCAAGGTTTCATGGGCATTTACCGTAACTCTGTATTTTCACACATGTGAGTTTTGCTGAACTGGACATTCTGGAAGGGTGCATGTTATCACCAGGCAACTTTAACTCTGCGCTAATAAAGGTTTTGTCAATTTTTTAATTTTAAATTTAAGTCCAGCTAGAAAACTTTTTTTAATTTGAAAACCATCCAAAACAATGAAACATTTCTGTTAATTCTGCATTTGTAGAGCGCCTAGCACAATAGGTTCTAGTCCATGACTAGGTGCTATGATAATACAAATAATTAATAGTAATATTAATTGGTTTTGATTTTTTCCCCTTAAACAAAGCCTACATTCTGGACTTAATCTCCTTGACATTGGCCTCTTTATTAAGGCAGTACATATGCACGGTAGCTATGAACAAATAGCCAGTTAGGAAACAGATTTCAGTTTCAAGCTTCCCGCAGATAGTTGTACATAGCAGTGAAAAAGAACAATATGTGCGAATTACCATGACACTGCCCTTTGAAGGAATGGTGTTCTGATTGTCTCTGTTGTTGCAATAAGGAGTGTTTACAAGAGACATAATTAATAATGATACAGCATTTATGGAATGCTTTTCATCTTCAAAGTCTGTCACTGACTTTAATCTTCCCAGCTCCGTGGAGATTCAGATGGATCCCTGTTATGCTGAGGCGAAATGTTGGTGCCTCTGCCTCAGGATCTACTCCTACTTGCTTTGAAGTCTATAGTAAAGCTACCACTGATTTCACTGGAATCAGGATTGGGTCCTAAGGGAATCTTTCCATTGACTCCAATGGGAGTTGGATCAGGCTCGAAATGACTTGCTCAGTGTCAGTTGGGTCCTGCATATAACTAGATTGAGTTCAAACCAGGCAATCACCAACTTTTATTTTCTTCCTCCTCCAGGGCTGGGTTCGTTCTGTCCGGTCCCAGAAAGAGGTTTTGTTCCTGCACATAAATGATGGCAGTTCTTTGGAAAGCCTCCAGGTTGTAGCCGACCCAACCTTGGAACATAGGTTTGCAGATTTTACATATTTAAAGAAATTTCTGTGCAGATTCTTGTTTGGAAAGGATTGATGACATGGTTGTAGGGCTCAGCTCCACACTATCTTAGACTAAGGGCATCGATTCCCAGGCCTGGTGTCTCACCTCCTGTGGCAGCAAGGATGTGAGTGCTGCAGGGGCGGTACATTCAGCAGTTGCTGAAGGTGTTGCATTTGGTGTCGTTCAATAGCTGTCAGTTAAGGAGCTGGGTTAGCTGGTTCTGAAGGGAGTAGGAAGTAGGGGGCACTTTTACACTGAAATTTTGTCTTCACTGAAGTCAGTGACAAAATTCCTATTGACTCATTGGGGCCAGGTTTCATAGTGCTTTTTCCATGGGTTGGCTTCCCCCGGTGGCTTATTCTTCCTGTGTAAGTCAGGCTGTACCTTATCAGAAGCTAGGGTTGCCATGTTAGTCTTTCCTCAACTGGCTCCTTAGTCTTTTCCTGCCTTTTGCGCCAGATGCAGTCAGTGTTTCTAGCTGAGGCACCACTTTTGCAGGCTCAGCACAAGAGAGAGCACAGAGGGGGTGGAAACCTTGAGGCCTTTCCTTATGAACAGACATTGGGGCTCATCTTGGATCAGTCATGGAGAGCTTGCTTCTAATTAAAAATAAACATTTAGGCTTAATTAATTTTCAGCTACAGAAGACGATCCTGTGCAAATTTATTTCTTGCAAGATGGACAGCTTGGTGGTTTATGCATCAACTAATTTAAAATCTCCAGACTCTTGGAAGCCTGGGTTCACACATACACACCCCCACCCACCCACCAGATGCTTTCCATGGGGATATATTGAGTGCCATGTGAATAAAATATAGCAATCAAATTGTAACAAGCTGCCTGTTTGTGATAATAGATACTGTAAGCATAGGGCTTGATCTAAATTAACCCAAAGAAGTCAACGAGTCCCTGAAATTCAATGGGCTTTATGTCAGGGCCATAGTGATACATTGTTGTTAATGTTGTTTTTTCCAGAGATCTGACTTTTGGAAGCGCCGTGGAAGTGCAAGGGAAACTGGTAAAAAGTCTTCATAGGATGCAAAATGTGGAATTGAAAGCTGAAAATATTCGTGTGGTAGGACCCTGTGGTACTCTGGTATGTTATTGCACTTAACAGTCAAGCTCACAGGATACCTTTTGGAACATGACTAATTTCAAAATATTCCCGTTTCTGACAGAGCACATTTCAAACTGTATTTCCTGCTATTTTTTCTGAAGTCATCTCTATTTTTAATGTTTTTAAAGCGTCTTCTACTCTCCCATTGATGTGGACAAGGGCCTTTTCATTAAGGGAGAAACTGACTAGTAGACTGAGCATAGGGAGGAAACTGTGAAACTAACTTGATACTAAGGACTGGATTTGTTAAAGAATTGTGGGCCAAATTTCCTGCTCAGCACCCACAATTGGAATCAGATCTCCAAAAGTTCTCTGTTGCCACCGTGAAACTTACAGCAAGATGTCAGAAAGTGATTGGCACCCACCGTGCTGGGTTCTTCTGAAAATCTAGCCACTTACTTTGGCACTGAGACCTGTTGAAATTCTAATTCTGAGCATTTTCCAAAAGTGATCAACATTTGTCCCTTGTGGTTCATTCTCTTTCTGGTTGTCTTTGTAAAATCCACAAAGTGCTCTGGAAAAAACTATTATTTTGCTTCTGACCTGTATCACTTATTGAACTTTAATAGGCAGTGATGATATGTCATGGATATCAGTAAAATTATTCTAGTTGCAGGTTCTGAAAGTTGTTTTTTTCCTGTCCTTTCTTTAGACGTTCCCTTTTAAACCAAGAGAGAGGCAACCTCTGGAATACAGCCGGCAGTTCCCTCACTTACGATGCAGGACCAACACATTGAGCTCCCTCCTGAGGGTACGCAGTGAAGCTACTGCAGCGATCCACTCATTTTTCAAGGTGCTCTGCTTCTTCGCTTGATCTTGTTACTGTGTTTTCACATATACAAATGATGGTGCCACATAACACTCCCGCCTTCCCATTGCGGTTATGTAATGGGTGACAGTGGGAGACATGGAATCAGGTCTCTGAGGTTCTATTCCTAGTTCTGGCACTGACTTAGGACCGGCATGCACTGGGAACTTACATCAGTATAGCTGCGTCTCTCAGTGGTGTGAAAAATCCACACCCCTGTGTGACGTACTTACGCTCATCTAATCCCTACACCTCCCAGCTGCAGTGTAGACATACCTTTAGTATCCCAGATTCTGTGTTTTGTGGGCAGAGGGCAGAAGTGTTACCACTATTCTTCCCCTTTCTCCCCCACATACTTTGACCCCTGAGGTCATGAAAATAATTTCAGGTCAAATGAAATGTTTTGATTTTGAGAATTTTCAAGTTTTTTTAAATAAAAAACATTTTTATTTTAAATCTCCAGGCTCTGTTACAGGGGTAGGCAACCTGTGGCATGTGTGCCGAAGGTGGCACGCAAGCTGATTTTCAGTGGCACTCACACTGTGCGGGTCCTGGCCACCGGTCCGGGGGGCTCTGCATTTTAATTTAATTTTAAATGAAGCTTCTTAAATATTTTAAAAACCTTATTTACTTTGCTCTAGGATCCATACAATGTGTTTCCTTGGAGCCAATGAGAGGGATCCGGGAAGGGATTCTCTGCCTCCCCCCCAGTGCATTCTGTTTTGTTTTGTTTATCTCCTTCCTCTCAAGCAGGGTTGGCCCAAGCTGGAGATGGGAGACTGGATGGGGAGGGCCAGGGCTCTGAGAGGGTACCGAACGTTCTCTCAGGTGCTTGGCTGGCTGGTTCTTGCTCACATGCTCAGTGTCTAACTCATCTCCATGTGTGGGTCAGGAAGGAATCTTCCCCGGCACAGATTGGCAATGATCCGGGGGGGAGGGAGGGGAGGTTTTGCCTTCCTTTCCAAGATGTGGGTCACTTGCCAGGATTATCTGGATATATCTCACTTAATCCTTTCCTTCCCATTGCGGGTGCCTCAGGCACTTGTGGACCTTGATCCCCCCTGTTCTCTGCCTGCGGCACATTATGGTCTAGTCTCCTGTGGGCTGTAATACTTTGGTCTCTTTCAGTTGTTGGGTTAGTGTGCGCGTGGCCTGTGGTCTACGTGAGAATCTGGTTATCCCTTCTGGCTTTAAACTCTATGACTCGAGTTAAAACTACATGCCAAGCACTCTACCTCCAAAACTAGACTTGTGGATTATTAGGCAGTTTACTGTCATAAAAGGATGAGTCAGACCTCCTGTAATTTGAAGTTATAGTTCCAGAGAGCCTTGGTATTTCAGATCTGAAACTTAGACTAAGCCAAGCTTAACCTTCTCAAGAGAGAACTGCAATATCGTATGGATTTTAGGATTGCTTTAAGATAGAAATATCGTGCCAGTTAAAGCTACTGTTAATTTCTGTACTGTACCAGCTCCTTATAGGTAAGACTAAGTTTGTGTCACAGATATCTTTAGTAAATGTCAGGGACAGGTCACGGGCAATAAACAAAAATTCACTGAAGCCTGTGACCTGTCCCTGACTTTTACTAAAAATATCCCTGACAAAATGGAGAGGCGGGTTCAGCACCCACTCTTGCTGGTACTGTCAGGTCCCCTGTTGCTGTGGGGAATGGGAGCTCTGGGGTCCCCCTGCCCGTGGGGGCTGGGCTGCTATGGAGTCCCCTTGGCTCCCCGGGGCAGCTGGTAGCTCAGGGTGGTCCCCTGCCACAGCTGGGAGCTGCAGGGACCCCCAGCCACCTGCAACTTTGTGGGCGGTCCCCCTGTTGCAGCTGGGAAGCTGCAGGGTCCCCCCCCACTAGAGTAGGCCTGGGAACTGCAGGGTGAGGGTGGCTGGCTGGGAGCTCCAGCCCCAGGCAGAAAATGTCACAGAGGTCAAAGGAATTCACGGATTCCGTGACTTCCATGACCTCCGTGACATATTCGTAGCCTTACTTATAGGTAAAAAGACTTGGTTAAGAAAAAGACCAGGTAAGTGAGGTTATATCTTTGATTGGACTGACTTCTGTTGGTCGGTACAAGCTTTTGAGCTATACAGAGCTCTTCTTCCACCAGCAAAAGTTGGTCCAATAAAATATTACCTCGCCTACCTTGTCTCTCATATCCTGGGACCAACAGGGCTACATCATCACTTCATTAAGAAAAGTCAGTACTACTGTTTGCCCGCTAGATGGCAATACCCACAGTTGTTTGACTTCTGATGGTTGCAAAGACAGAGATGGATGTTGATGAACATCTTACCCTGAAGGAGGTTTTAAAGAGCAATAGGAAAATGCTGTTAGAATTACCAATAAGCATGAAATTCTGATAAAGTGTGTATATCTTACTGCCACTAAAGCAAATACTTCGTCTGTAGTTATTTTCAATATTGTGATATTTTTCATGTGGAGTTCTTCTGCTTAACGTCATATATATTTTGAAGCAAGATGCTTAATGATACTTGAATGGATTTTTGAAGGGACAATGAATGCAAGGTCACAGTTGGCCACAGACTAAGATGTTTGTAAAAATAAGCTTTCGCAAATGCTAAGACCAACAAGAACATGTCTTATTTATTTTATTTCATTGTGATCCAGTGGAAATGACTTTTTTTTTTTTAAAAAAGAATCCAATTCTTCCCATGTAGTACTTGCAATCCAACATTGCAGCACTGTGCATAAGAACTGGAAAACGAAACTAACTGGTCTGGTTTTCATCGTGCAAAACTGAAAACTAAAAAGAGCACAAAGCTAAACTGTAAACCGTAGATCTTTAACTATATCATGCAGTAGTCCAAGCCTCTTTTCATTTTTTAAAAATGCTCTTATCCCAAGGACTTTTTCACACAGTATCTGATTAATGCTAGAATTTTTGCTTTGGATGTCTAAGGCTAGAAACCTACCTTTAACTTTACCCTTGGGTAGTTCAATACCTGTGAGATGTGAATATCCCTCCTAGCCTTAAGGACCCTATGCTCCTAGATACAGTGGGTATATCTACACTGCAATTAGACACCCACATCTGGCATATTGGGGGGAGGGATAGCTCAGTGGTTTGAGCATTGGCCTGCTAAACCCAGGGTTGTGAGTTCAATCCTTGAGGGGGGCCACTTAGGGATCTGGGGCAAAAATCAGTACTTGGTCCTGCTACTGAAGGCAGGGGGCTGGACTTGATGACCTTTCGAGGTCCCTTCCAGTTCTGTGAGATAAGATATTGCCATATTAATGTACAAGCTGACTTGGGTTCATGGGGCTCAGGCTGTGGGGCTGTTTAATGGGGCTGTGGTGTAAATGTCCAGGCTAAGGCTGCGATGGGGAGGGTCCCAGAGCTCAGACTGCTGCCTGAGCTGGAATGTTTGCACCTTAATTAAACAGCCCCACAGCCCGAGTCCCACAAGCCCAAATCAGCTGGCATGGGCCAGCCACAGGTGTCTAATTGCAGTGTAGACACACCCAGTGAAGAGTATGCAGCATGAATATCTCCTCTGAGCTCTGAACTCCCCTGCTGCTGTGGGTTCATGGCAGAGCCACTAATGTTACCATAATATTTGTTGTGGTTTGATAATGGAAACTGGGCTAAGTCTCTTAAGGAGGGGGACTGTGGTTCTGGGCACCCCTGTGATGAACCTACTTCTCAGGCACTTCCTAAGTCAAGGAGGAAGTCTGCTAATGTAAAATGCACTCTACTGCCAGCTTAATGGTGGTAGCTGCCATAAAGTACATTGGACTTTAGAAACTCTACTCCCTACCTGTTACTTTAAATGTCTTCCCGTAAAATGTATTGTACGCCAGCCCTGAACTTTACAAATTCACGTGCCCCTGCTTTTCCCAAAATCTTTGGTTCAGATAGCCCCAATTCGCTGACATTTGGGGTAGGCGGCAAATCCCATTTATTTTCCCAGGCTTTTGTGCGGGAGGAGGGATGTGCTGAGGGATGGGATTTATGGCTGGAGGGGTGGGTATTCTGCTCCCTGTTTCAGGGAGGTTGCTTTGTTTGTTTGTGTTTATATTTTGAAAGGTCTCTAGAGCCCTGCATAGATGCACTCATGGGGTTTTGCATACATAAATAATGTGGAGTTGACATTTATTTATATTATTGTTGTGTCAAGAGACCCAACCATGGTTGGGTTGCGTTGTGCTAGGAGCTGTATAGGAAGCGTGGTCCCTTCTGCTTACAGTCTAAATGTGCTCTTTCCATAGTCTCATTTGCCTGAGAGGCCTTTATTTCTCTCTCAGGCTTTCAGATGTAAATACTTGTTTCCTACAGAGATTTTGGCACTGTGGACTAGTAAGTAATGGAACACTCTATTCTCATGATAGAATTGTTGTGGTTATAGAGCCCTCTGCAGGATTTTTTCTATAGTGCGAACACGTGAAGAATCTGGCACTAAAGTTGCACGCTCCAGAAATCCAACTAGTGTTTAGCACATGCCACTATATCTCTCTCATAACGTAGAAGCTATTCTAAAAGGTTACACATGTTGTCTTTGGTCCTGGCCTGATAGATGAATCCTGACTTGCGCATGTTGGAATCTTCCTTGGAGTTGACACGTAATATCCTTGGACTGGCAACTTTCAATGTTCTCTCTTGTTTCAGGATAATGGCTACGTGCACGTTCATACCCCTATAATTACGTCAAACGACTGCGAAGGTGCGGGGGAGCTCTTTCATGTCAGGGTAAGTTGTACTTACAAAACAACTTTGTAATTACTGGGTGTTAAAGGGACAATCAGTTTTGTATATCCTATTTTTTTACGTATTTCTCTGAGATTTATTTTTGTAACCTACAACTGTTCCTTGTGATACTTAAAGTGATGATTCTAACTGAAATAGATTAAACAGCTGTTTTAATCCCTTTCACTTTTATTCTGTACTTTCCCCAGCATTTTATGTATTGATCAATTTCTCTATCCTGAGTTGTGTGGAAAAACTTAAAGAGAAATGGGAAGAGGGGGTCAAACATCTTAATAACCAGGAAAATGTGATTGTAAAATAAAAATATGGGAGGAGGCCTCTGGGTCAGGCACAGTTGAACTTCTGTGAAACTAACTAGACTTCATGTTAATCGGCTCCTGCTATAAACCACAAAATGACTCCTATTTTTTCCCCACCAGCTGCTTATTTCTTGCTGCCTCTCTCATTTTTTTTTGTCCCTTCCTAAAAGCTGCCCATGCTGTAATTATTGGCCTTTTCTTCAGTGTTGCAAAATAAAGTTCAGTGTTTTAAATTGACATTCTGTTGACTTCAGCACTTGTAGAAATCATTCTCATCCCCCATCAAAAACTCCCGTGTGCATTTCAGAGCAACCCTAACTAAATTGCAGCATTCCCTAAATTTTCAGTAACACCCCCCACCCCCAGGCACACAAAATTGTGTGCACGCCCATAAGCCCCTTTGCCTTTCACAAAAGAAAATATATTCTTTGGCCACAAAATGATTGCATCTACTTACACTTACTGGCCACAGCTTTGCTGGTGAATCATCTCTAAGCAAAAAATCATTGAGGTAGCATGTCACTGCTGCAGTGTCATGTCTACAGCTCCTTGTATCTCCTTAATCTGCTGGTCAGAAACCTCCAGTACTGGTTCTTCAGGATTGAAAAACCTGCTCTGCCCCACTGACAACACCCCACAGACCAGTGCACAGCAACATGTGTACCCCAGCTTTCTACTTACTCTTGATAGTACAGCCCAGCTAATCTGCTCCTGGCTAATTGAAATACCTTAGTGCTACCACAGTGTGCTCCTGGCTGTTACATGCCAATTAAGATGTGGAAACAAGTGACGCTTGACAGTAAACACGTTATACAATTTTCAGTCCTACAGCGTATCTCTGTTTAGTCTTCTGCATGAACTATATCTACCTGTTAAAGGGTTCTGCTCACTGCAAGTGCACCTCCTTGTGGTTGGGTCTGGGAATTATCTCTTGCCCTGTCTGGTGCTCCTTTCCTTCGCTTGCTTGCACTGTGTCCTCTGCTGCCCCTCCTCTCCCCCCCGGGACTCAGGGTGCTTCCTTTTCATGACTCGGCACTCGACTCCTCCAGCCAGGTCACTATATAATCATCCCCTACTAGGGTAACCGAATCCCACTGGACTAGCTTGCCGGACTCTGCCTCAGATGGTCTTTGGTTCCAAGTCTCTACTTTCCTGGTGGCTGGTAGGGGAACCCAGGTCCTCCCTCTACACTGGGTTGCAGCCCAGGGACCCTGTAACCAGCAGCCATGGTCTGCACATTGCCATTCCTTCCTGCTATTACCTTAGGCTTCTTCTGACCCCACATTCTCAGGCGTTCTTCCCCACAACTTCTCTGGGTTGACCCTTTATTCAGCAGCTAGGATTCCAGGGGTTATTGTCCCCCCTGGGTTTCCAGCTCATCACCTCGCTGCTCCCAGAGAGTGACTGCACACGCCCTCACTGCAGCCCTCTTCTGCATTCAACTTCCTGGCTTTATGCTGACCAGCCTACTCCCGGGCTTCATGATCAGTTAAGCCAGGCTCTCCCTCCAGGTGCACGCAGATAACATAATTGGCCTCTCAGTCCCACATTAGCCCCTTCAGGGCCTGTGTGGGGTACACACCCCATCACACCACCCCTAAGCTTTACAGAATTAAATTATGTAGGACTGCAGTGTGAATGCCTTAAGTCACAAAAGCCCTGGTGCAAATATTGATTGGGGTGGGGATGGGTAGCTGTGATCTAGCAGATGGGGCATGGGAAACTCATGAAAACTGGATTTTAGTTCACTGAGGCCATGGGCACATCATTTAAACTTGTACCTTCGTTTCCCCATCTGTAAAGCACTGTGGGATTTGTGGTTGAAAGGTGCTGTGTGAGTGCCAAGTATTATCCTATGAAATAGTGTATATGGAAGCATGGTGCTACAAATGTGGGGCTCCAAAGCTCTGATCACCACTGGAGAGGGGGAAGCTTCCCCTCATTCTTTGCTTTCTGCACTGGCTCCCCATTGAACAGAGGATCCCAGCTCAAGATCTCTGTCCTGATTTTTTTCAAAGCCTTACATGGAATCGGTCCTAGCTACCAGAGGTACCACCTCTCTCTCCACCCAGCACCTTCTGTTTGGTCAGCTGTTTCGTTGCTCAATGTGTTTAAAGTGAAACACAGAATCCAACCTTTCACCCAGACTTTCCCACCACTCTGCCTCAGATGCACACTCCCACTCGTCTGTGTTCAATAATAACTTCGTAAACAAACCATGTGCCCGCCTCTTGCTGTGGGAGGGAGCAAGATTTCTAGGGTATGTCTATCCTACGGACCTTACAACGGCAGAACTGTACTGCTGCAGCTGCAGGTCTCTTGGGTAGCCGGTCTATGCCAGCAGGAGAGAGCTCTGCTACTGGCATAATTAAGCCACCCTCTGAGCGGCAGTAGCTATGTCAGCAGGAGACGCTCTCCCACCGACATAGCGCTGTCCACACCAGCACTTTTGTTGGTGACATTTAGGGGTGAGAGTTTTTTTCACACTCCTGACGGACAAAAATTTTGCTGACAAAAGTGCTAACGTACACAAAGTCTAAATCTTGGCTACTGCTCAGATACCATGATGATGGGCTCCTAGATAAGAGCATAGACAGATGAGCCATTTGCAGAATATAAACTTTCATTAAAAGAAAGTTGGTAGCTTTTGATTTTGAAGTTTGTTCCACATGTGACTGGGATATAAACCAATGTAAAGTTGCTTCCTGACCCTTCCATCACCTCTAGTGCATCTGCTGTTTCTCATAGTCTTCAAGCAGTAGGCAAGTAAAACTGACTAGATTCTGCTTAATTTCTCTGCTGTTGCTTAGATCCCTTAGGCAACACTTAAACTGACAAAAATCATATCCTTTAGCTCTCCTGTTCCTGGGAAAAGGTAGGAGGTACTGGAGCTGTGACCCCTGGACTGTACTGGAGGGTGCTTTTACCTCCCAATTCACCATCTTTCATATCTATTTTCCTCTAACTGGGAGGCTTAATCCTCCAACTAATGATGTCTGGTAGCTGACCAGGGTCGTGCGTTCCCTCAGAGATGGTAGGGAGAAAGATTTGTAGAGAGATGGAACAATAACTTCCTGCTTTAGAAAGAAGATCTGAGGAATTTGAAGGCATATAGTCCTCGGGTTTTTAGACCTTTTTAATCCCGTTGGATTTGGATTTGTTTACATGTTTAGTCTGGAAAAGAGACGACTGAGAGGGGACATAAGTTTTCAAGTACATAAAAGGTTGTTAAAAGGAGGAGAGAGAAAAATTCTTGTTCTTAACCTCTGAGGATAGGACAAGAAGCAATGGCCTTAAATTTCAGCCTTGGATGTTTAGGTTGGACATTAGGAAAAACTTCCTGACTGTCAGGGTGGTTAAGCACTGGAATAAATTGCTTAGGAAGGTTGTGGAATCTTCATCATTGGAGATTTTTAAGAGCAGGTTAAACACCTGTCAGGGATGGTCTATATAATACTTAGTCCTGCCATGAGTGCAGGGGACTGAACTAGATGATCTCTTGAGTTCCCTTCCAATCCTACGATTCTATGTCCAGCTTCCTTATTGTTTTGTTTGGATTTGTGTACACCGATTAGTCTGCACATAATTTTGGTTGGGATTTTCTCATACTTGTGCTGCGTGTGTGGATCCTTTTCTGTCTTGTTTGGCAAATTATTTATTTAAGGAATTCATAAAAATTTGAAGACAAAAACGAAAGGAGATGGGAAGCTGAGAAGATACAGAGAAGTTGTACGTGTCATGAACTGCAGAGAAGCCCCCTCAACTTAATTATTATGCAGTTTACTGCAGTTGAGTAGCTGGTGGATCTAAAGACAGTCGGGGCAAATTCAGGAAAACTGAGAACATAGGAGCCACAGTTTGGGTGTATGAAATTAGACCTCTGCCTGGCAAGCTGTCCCATTTAGCCAGACTCTAACCCTTGTGCTGAGCTCCATTTATATTAATGTGACTACACACGGTCACTGGGGTCCCTCAGGGTGGGTCAGTTGGCAGGTTCCAAGACCTTAGATTGTAAACTCTCCAGGGTAGGGATCACATTGTATCCTATGTGTTCATGCCAGGCCTAGTACAGCTGGGCCTGGTTCCTGACTGGAGCACTGTTTAGGCGCTATTACAATAGCAATAATTTAATAATATTGATTTAAATGTCAGTTCAACCCCATTTATCCAAATGACTCGGAGGGATGTATCTGAAATTTGGCATTGCAGAAAAGCAAAACTATAATGTCATGGGACACTAGTGAGCTTGGGATAATTCACATCTCACATGATTGGGATAACTTGGGAGTTTACCTGGACCAATTACGGTAGCACAGTTTTTAAAGTAATTATGTCAGGCAACCTCCACCCACAATTAGTGTATATTGCTACATATTCTTCCTGCATCCAAATCATCTTTAGCTAATTATGAACCACATAAACTCTCCAAGTACCGGTCATCTCAACAACTTGGCCAGAGATTATGTGCTGTCAGTGTGTATTGTCCTGTCAGGAAGTAGCCACCACATAACCGCTTCCCCATTCTCCTAGCAATATGAGGATGTCCGTATTTAACATGGGATGGGATGAAACCTGTAATAAATATGCCTCTGTAACTCTAGATCTAGACATTAACTCCTTACCTTTCCTTCAGTACATCCAAAACAAACCCTATTGACACCACAGGGGAACATAGTCACAATT